GTCAACTTCATGACGTCTTGGCGCAGTCTGAGGCATAAGCCCGTCGCGGTGCTAATGCACTCGGTCCTGCGAGTTACGACAGAAGACGGCCAGAGGGTGGTCATGGACGGTACCCTGGGGCAATTTCGTTGGGCGCATTCGACTTGGCTCCAAACATGGACACAGTGGTGCGCCAAACGCCTAGACACCACCAAGGGGGACAATGGCTGGCATTTCGTTTCGAGCGAAGCGAAGCAGGAGGTATGTGAGTACTCTGTGGATTTAGCAGAGGGTTACTGGGCTACTATCTTCTGGAGGCTGAGGGATTTGTTCCAAGAGCTGGACTGGATGGAGTTGAGGAGACGAGAGAAGGATGAGCGTATCGTTTACGTCGACGAGCTGGCCCGAGCAAAGTTTGCAGACCTTCTTGTAAAGGCATTCGATGTCTGATCAAAGCAAGGACTGAGATGAGGACCGAGAGGAATAGATAGACATTCAACTTCGAAAACGATGAGAAATCACTGAAAGAATATGCATATGCACAATACCTGAACTATACAAGCCAAGAAGACACAGCCCCTACCTCGTTACGCCGTCGGTGCCCACTTGCTCTTCGTTCTGATCCTTGCCCCGAAGATGTAGAACAGAATGGGTACAGGGAGAAATAACACACAGATGAACGCCAGAAGGCTGGTCGCCCATGGTACACCGAGTTTAGTGTACATTGCATGTGTGAACAGTGGAAAGAAGGCGCCCGCGAACGAGCGAATGAAGGTGTTGACTGCGATGGCGCTGTTGGAATAAAAGCCATAGCAGTCGATGAGGTAGCTCATTCCCTGCCAGAAAGGCACCATGCAACCAAACCCGAGAAGGGCAACGGAAAGCACCTGCGGTACCCACGAGATGTTTGGATTGCTAGTCCAGGCGAACCAGAATAGGCCGACAGGAAGTGCGATGGCTCCGAGTATCATGGGCGGCAGGCGTTCCTCCGGGATGACCTTGCCGTGTTTATGAAATGCGCGCGTAAATCCAGTCGCTGAACTGTAAGCAATACAGCCAGCGCCCATCAGAATGCCAACTATAAAGGCGCCGAACGGGAGCTGAGAGACCCCTAGAGACCAGCCACGTTCCTCATAGAATGACACGGGAAACTATCGATTGTCAGACCCTCGTAGCAAGAAAGGCATGGACGTAGACTCACAGCTTCGAAAAGCAGATAGACAATGCCGTACAAGAAGCTCATGTAAGCTGTCACCAACGCCAAGATGGGTTCCTGGAAGAACATGATGAATGGCCGTAAGAGGTAAACGTTCAGCACTTTGTCGAGAGTCAACTTGTTCTCGTCTGCCGCAGCGTGATATTCGTTGTTGCCCGTGTCCTTTCGTAACTTTGCAGCTCGCAACTGCAGAATCCTGGCTGCAGAAGTCTCTGGTATGACGAGGAAGCCAATAACGCCGAACAGGCCGGCCATGATGAGAGTGATCCAGGATGTCCAGCGCCAGCCAAGATGCGACTCGGCGATGAAGCCACCAGCAATGGGTCCTGCTACTGGACCAGCGAATCCACCAGCGGCAAAAACACAGATAGCATACGACCTGGGGATAGGATCCCACAAGTCTGCAAGAGCTCCACCCACGACTGCGAGGGGTGCAGAGGCGAAGAGGCCGCCAAGAAAGCGGCCTACGCATATCGTCGTTATATTTTGGGCAAGAGCGACTGGGATCTGGAAGATAGCGAAGAGTGCGAAGCCGAACATGAGGGGAATCTTGCGACCTAGAACCTCTGACATTGGCCCGAAGGCAATCGGTCCAAATACGAATCCCTATGAACTTTTGTATTAGATACTGCGCCCATGGCCGTCGGGTGGGGGCTCCACGTACCAGGACAAACAACGCTACGCCAAGAGTAGCTGTGACCTTTTCGACATCGAACTTCTCCTGGACAATCCCGATGTTGACACTGAAGATAGAACTGGCGAATGTGACCGTGAAAACCATGAGGCCCATGGAAACTGTGATACCCCATCTTCGTTTGGGCGTCCAGTTCTTCGGGTTGCCGGGATCTTTGGGTCCATCGAACTCCACGAAAAAGCGATCTGTTTGTTCTGGTGGCATAGTGTTGTCTAAGCCTTTCTCCAGGCCATCCAAGACGTCTTCTTCGCTCTTTCTGGAACTGTCCTCTGTTACATCCAGTGTCTGCTCTGGGGACGTCCGAGGCTGTGCTGATGGTGGTGTAGACCGGGGGTCTATGCTGTGGGCTGTCGTCATACTGGAAGAGGCTTTGAGGTCGGTGATACACAGGCTTAGCTACGGCGACGGGGAATGGAGTATTTGTAGGATTCTACATGTCGGGCTTGTGGATATGTCATTATTTCCGGGGTTTGGGCGGATTTAACGATAAGGAAGCAACGACCTTCTGCAGCCGCCCCTTGACCCACCTTCAGCGCCGGGCCATCTACGCGAAGGGCGACTTGGCGTTTTACTGACGGTCTGGTCATGTCGCGCCATGGTGAGGCTCCGCAGCTGGATTGTTTGAACGCGCCTTCACGCAGAGGAAGGATGGCGAGGAGAAAGGGTAGATGCTGCGTCATCGATTTGTTGGGGACGATGGGGCCACCTTCCCTGAAGCCGACAAGCGCGAGCCATGGATGCGGCTACTTTTCCGGGCGACCCACCAACTCTCATCCGACCTCATCTCAGTCAGCCGTTCTGTACAACGCGACCTGTTGCCACGCCCTTATTTCTTTGTTTTTTCGCACATAGCGCATATCGCGCTCGCGGTCTCGGCAGCAATTCGACGCGAGCCCGTAGGTCACAACGACGCCTCGCACATCAGGGGCTCTGGTAGAATGGTGTCCGCGCTGAAGCTGGAAGATGACGTTTCGCGTTTGATACTAGATGCTCACATCCAGCACCCGTTTACTCTCTGCACATTGACCTTCTTCTACTCAAATTTCTCCAGGTCTTCTCCTACTACCACGCGACGGGCGCGACGCACTCATGACAATGTTCACCCAGGATGATACGACGACACGCACGCTTTACCGCGATATCACCGTACTGTTGCGACATTCCGAACACGCCTTCCTCGCCCCAAGAACACTCATTATCTTGGTCGTCCTCCGTTCTTCCGCATACCACTCTAGCTCCACAAAGGCTGGCAGAACATAGAGGACTATCAGGGGCAAAGACAATGCTAGGGGAGCACGCTGGCCGACAGCCTAAAACAACGCGGACAAGAGGAGAAGCAGCCATGTCGTCGGGATAAAGACGCATCAGCGCTGCATGATCTATGCCGTCCACCTTATCTTGGTTAAGGAGTACATTCTCGCTTCCTGCTCTAAGCCCGAGAGTCTCTACGATTACAATCGGTCCTGTTAAATCTGCTCCATCTCTGCGCCAGAGTTGTCTTCCTCGTACAAATCATCGGGATCCACGTCGTCTTCTTGGATGTCCTGCTTCAAAGCTTGCCACATCGCGTGCACATCGAGACTTTCCAGGTGCGGTATGTCCTTTACCCAAGATTCCTCAAGCTGAAAGAGGAGCTTCCGGCAAGAGCGGTCATACCATTCCCGTCCCACTGCAATACTGGATTCTTGGAGACAGCGTTCGATGTGCTCTTTTGTCACAAGAGTGAGCACAAGAAGCAAGACCCAACTCCTGTCGTGCAGTGTATGTGGTGCCTCGTACACTATCAGTGAAACGATATCTTCCCGGTCTTCCTGAGGAGTATCGAGCAGATCTTCGACGCTCATTCTCTCAAGTTGTTTCCACAGAACCTTGAACGTTTTTGTCGGGTTTACTGGAGGTCGTTGCTCATGTGCTTTCGATGGCAGGAACTCCCTATGCCAGGGCTCATGATTGGTCCTTGGTATCGAAACCGGAGATGATGGATCAATCTCTCCCACAAAGCGCAGTAAGATACCGATGTATTCCATCTCCCATTCCGTGGGAAATCCGACATGATTGTGCACTTTGAAAGGTGTTTCTAGGCCCACGGCTTGAGCTTTGTCGTAGTGCTCTTCCTCATAGAAGCTGTAATCTCTCAGATTCTTGGCCGACCACCAGCTGGGGCGCTTGGCTGCTCGGACCAAGATAGCTTCAAGCATCTGTTTCGCAGATATCGTGCCAGACTCCCTGTGCGGGCCGATGGAAGAGTTTGGTTTCGCTTTTGGGACCGCGCTGGTGCTTGCAGCTTTGCCTTTTGTCGTTTTGACGGTCTCACTTCCGACAGCACCTTCAGCTTCTTCGGACGTCGTTGTCTTGTCTCTTCGGCGAAGAGATGTGAAGCTTCGAGCCTTCCCTACCTGTTCCTTTGGCCACGTCCGACCAACAGCATGAAGCGGATCCACCTGTAGATTACCGACCACAACCAGAAACGCGTCGAATATATCCAAGCGGCTCTTGATCACAAGGTTTAGGAGTTTCACTGACCCTACGGTGTGGAGCGCTCTCCAGTCCTCTCTTGCCTGCACGCTGACACGCTTTGGCCAATACCAGGTCGGTGGCTCGGTTCCCAACAGGTAGTTGAAGTTTACGTGACCATCGCCGCCAGCCAAACGCCTTACTGCAATAATCTCTCCATCCACGACCGGATCTTTTGTATTCGGGGTTGACGCTTTCAGCCAGAGCTCGGCCATGTCGTCGGGGATTTCGATCGTGTCAGAGGTGGGGTAAGCAGTGCTTTCGCTGGTTGCTATCGTGGATGGCTCAGCCTGAGGCTGCGGTCCGTCGTTCTGCACGGCAGCAGTTGTTGGCTTTGATCGATCTTTTGACATGCTGTGTTTGGGATGATGATTGCGCAATCAAAGCAGGTAACGAGACGTTGATAACAGGCATAGAACACTTGCCCTCTTATACCAACGCCTGTTATACCAGCAATCATGTCACCATCACCAGTGTGGATTGTTGCAAGCTTGCTACATGTTACAAGTGGCTATATCAAACTTAAGAAATGAATTGACAGCTATGGAGTGTGGCAGCTGAAGCTATAGACATTTTCACACGGCTGACCCTGTCTACCTAGTTCTCGTCATCGGCCAACGCGACAGTCTTCTTAGTCTTCAACTTCTTTGCTGGCGGTTGCTCACCGATCGCAGCAGTGGATACCCTCTTGCCCGGTTTTCCAATTCTAGATGTTCCATCCACTACCCCCTCTCCGTTATCAGTCACCGCTGGCATGCCAGGTTTTCTTGAACCAGGGCCTGACTTCGCAGTCGCTTCTCTCTCCTCTGAGGCACCCTGATGCTGAGGGGCATGAGTCGGGGCTGGTAGATCTTGGTCAGCTTCAGTGCCATCTCCTTCAATCTCGTCATTCCCTGACTGGTCTTCAGCATCTTCTACTTCAACATGCTCGTCGTGTTCGTTCGCCAGCTTAACCCGTCTCCTACTCTTCAATGGCCGGGCGCTCTTCTCGTTGGCTGGAGCGTCGTCTTCATCTCCAGAGTTGTCTGTACTGTTGTCGTGTTCAGAATCGCTACGTTGTCCGCGGTCGGATTCAGGCCTCGGAGCAGCGTCATCATCTGGCTTTTCTGCGTTACTCTCGCTGGCGAACTGCTCGTCCTGCAGGGACTGCTGAAGCAACCAGAAGGTGTGTACTGCTTCGGCATAGCTCAGCTTCTTATGCTCCTGATACTCTTCCATGCAGGTATGGATAGTATCTCTAGAACGAGCGGCGTGCGCCATCAGCCCCACCTCCTCTTCCGCTTGCTCCGCTTCATCGTCTGAGAGTAAGGCCAGGGCGAGCAGATATGGCCAGGAGCCTGGCCTGGCGACATGGGGACTGTGGGTGATCATACGACGACCGAGGTCTTTCCGTTTCGCTATGGTTGGCGGCACAATCTTGACTAACAAGACTGGTCCAGTAGTACGCTTTCTCTGCCAAACATGGAAGTCCTCGATGAAGACAGTCCAGATGTTCGTCAACTTGATCTTGGATGTTTGTCCCGTTGTTGTTGCTGTTTCGTTGTCATCATTGGACGTTCCGACCTTATTCGATGCAGAAGTCCATATGACATTTACATCACTCAAGTTTTGATAAGTCTCTTCGTTGAGCTGGTTCTCATTGACCTGGTTTTCATCGGTCTCGCTGTCATCGGGGTTGCTGTCATCGATGTAAGGCTTCCAGATTATCTCGACGAGCTCTTGAGCACTTTTGGAGATGGATGCCATGGCTTTCGCCTCGTCCTCGTGCGTCGCATAGTGATAGCTTCCTTCCTCTGGTTCTACCAGCCACGATCTGGGCTGAAGGACCTCACTCAATATGAATATGAGCATCTGGTGCACACGGTCGTAGTCATCGTTGCTGAATCGTGTGATGAATTTCTCCGGCCCATCTGTCAGCGTGACTTTGTTGAGAACTCTTACTTGATACCAGCCAGGTACGTTCACATCTATCCAATGATTCTGTTCGACTTCCTCAAACCTCTCGACGGTCTTCTTGTACAACTTCGTAGCATGGGTCTTTCTCATCCACTCAAGCTCCCCATCGTTCCATATCAATACCTCCAAGTTACCTTTTTCCCATCTCTTCCTTCGCGCGATGATGATGGTCTTGTCGGGTCTCTTCGGGTTCTTCTCCTCTTTGCCGGCCAGCGCCGCCCACGCTATCTCGAATTCGGGGGGAACTTCGAGAGTTTGGGGATGTTGTTGCTCTTCTCCGTCAGTATCGATGGAAGTTGCGGGTTTAGCAGCTTTGGCCTTTTTCCTTCTCTTACTCGAATCCACCTTACCGTCGACATTCCCATTCTCATGTTCGTCATCATCTTCACTCAGATTTGGAACCCCCGCTCTCTTCTTTCGCGGCTTTGAACGATGCTCTGCTGTCGGTTCGCTTGCGATGCTTCTTGGCTTTGCCACCGCTTCGTCCATTTCAGTGTCGCCATCGCCGTTGCCCGATGGGTCCTCACCAAATACGAGTGTTTTCAAGCCAGACTTTGGTGGTACTGTTGTGTTGGTTGGCATCTTCGGCCCCGTGGTAATCTCTTCACGTCCAGCTTCGCTTTCGTCCATGTTGTTGCACACGTGTCGGATCTAAGGATTAACCGTTGATGAAGACTGTGTACGTGGGCGAGGGTGTTGATGTGAGCAAGTGAAGAAACCGATTGACTGAAGCCGAAGATCTTATGCTTTGCTCAGTTTGCTACATCTGCCAGGCTCTTTGTGCGTGGCCAAACCTCGTTATCATGTCATGACCGCATTCTCATCCCTTGCATTATGTCACGTCATGAGCAATCTAGCAAATAGACAGAAAGCCCCAGACGACTCCACTGTGCGTCCAGGGTGCTGCATTAGCGGATCTATATCCCGCGGACTTGTTGTCGGCTGGCGCTATTCCAGTAGCCGCGACGCTGTAACGTCCAGAAAAACGTCCAGGTTGTTATTGAAACACGACTTTGCCTCTGCCTCCTGTTCAGGCTTAACATCTCCAATCAACATGTGCATTAATCTACACTGATACCTATCATTCCTCCAGTTCTACATCCTCGTCGTCCTCAGCCTTCTCATTCGCGCCATCATGTCCATCGCTAGCTTCGTCATCATTCCCATCCACCGACGCTGCCACGATAGCACTCCCATCCTCATCAACATCATTCTCCACGTACCAGCGAACCTCATCACGAGTCGCCATGTACGTGCGCTCAACGCAGTCAATCGGCCGCTTCTCCCAATCTCCGCAGTATGTCCATAGAAACTCGTCCCGCGTACGCTCGTGCCAGTCATCTCCCACTTCGATACCAACTGTGTCCAATTTCCTTGCGATCTCATCGCCCATGAAGAAGAGGCGTGTGAACATGAGTAGCAGAGGGTGTGTGAGGAGATACGGCGCATGCGTTGGGAACAGTGCGACGGTTTGGCTTAGCGAAGATGCGATAGCGTGTGCGTTTTTAAACGTCCAAGTAGGATTTCTCAGCTCACGGAGACTGGTGTCGAAGAGCGGGGTGAGGAAATGGACGACGGGGTATGAGCGGCGCTTTCCTGGGTCGGTAGCGATCTCTGCGTCGATCCTGCCGATGTATTTGACCCTGATTGCTCTATAAGGTAGGTCTGTGTCCTCGGCCTTGACAATGTAGCGGCTTGACCCGGCTTCCTCCCGCATGACACGATAGGTGCGTCTTATGACCTCTGCAGCGTCTGGTGTGTTTTCCTTGAGATTTTTCGCGATCTGCTCCGCTCGCTGCCTGTGTTCCTTCGACCTAAAGACCCATTCCTCATCCTTGAAGAGCTCGGATGGGGAAACGCCGTCTGGGTCCAGAAGTATCGTCTCTCTGAAGTTATCAAAGACCGTCTTTCTCATGCGGAGTATATGTTCGGCGGAGTCGTCTGCGCTAGCGTTCGCACATTTGATGACCGTATTGTTTTTGAACCCAAATGTACGTTTCGCCTTCTTAGTGTCCCTCCACTCTTTCAGAACTGTGGCAGCAATGCCCTTGGGGCTCACCATGGGCTCCCAAGTTGGGGTCCAGTCGATGAGGTATTCGCGTTTTCCATCCTCGTTCTCCCGCTCGGCTAAGACTCTTCGGATATCGTGCGTATTCGTCGTTCGTGGCAGGTTCGCAGGAGCGCTTGAGGACTTCTTGGAAGCTTTAGGTGGCATCGTTCGGTATCGCTCGCTTGAGTTGTTGAGGACCTGGCAAAGGTGGTTGTGTTCTGCATAATGTATGAGAAATTGTTGTTTGCTAGTGAAGGGCGGAGAGCTTTGCAGAATACATTAGATCATCGCAGTGTCGACGCGTCGACAATGGAGTGTCCTGGAGGTAGTCAGTGATCATCCGCCTGACCAGGGAAACACGCGAGCGTACTGTATTGCTCCAGGAGGTTGCGTGCCGATTGAGTGTGTGAGATGATGTAGGGGAGTGGCAGCTACAGAGGGACCCAGAACAATCAAAACAACACTTGCAGCACCATACAAAGCACATCTACAATGTCATCATCACAGCATATTGCAAAATCTCACATAATTGATGGAAAAGAGTTCTATTCGTGCATATTTATAAGGCGCACAGCGGCGCCATCCCCCCAAACCGCACCACCTCACCACCTCTGCCACCGCCAGGAACTCAAGATGTTTTGCCCGAAGGCCCCAATTCCTCTCCACCCCGCCCAGATCTACTGTCCGAAGACCGGCCTGTCAAGATATGTCAGCTTAGCTCGTCAATGGGTGATCAATTAAGACTTACTTCCACTCATCCAGCTCCCGGGCGAGCTTCCAGGCCGAAACCCCCACCCTCATCCTCTCCCTCTTCTCCGCCGCAACCGCTCTCTCCCACCGGAGCTTCTCCTTGATCATGCCCTTGGCCTCGGCCAAGGCGGCCACCTTGTCGGGGTTGGAGATGGCGATACGCCATACGGCGTTCCAAGATGGCCCCATGTGGGCTGCGGACGTTGGCGGCGAGGGCGCGGGTGCATAGTCGACCTCGGGGTCGAAGGTGAAGGGCATGTTGGCAAGTGTTTGATGTGATGTAGGTATCAGGGTGTGGTATGGTGAGTACGTTGGAAAGTTTTGGAGGGTGCCAGCTAGGATACACAGACGCGCAAGACTAAAGGTTTAATTACAATTCCTCGCTCTTCACCTACAAACGGGCAGCTCGACCAATCAGTTCCAGCCCACCCAACTCTTACTCATTACACGCCACACCCTCACTTCACCTGATCTCAAATCTCCCATCTTAAAGCTCTCTGGCTTGACCTTCTTGTGCTCACGTCCCTGCTCCCAAGCCCTTACCTTCTTTTTACTGCCATCCCACTCGACAACAACACCGACGTGATCCGGCTTCCCAACATCCATCGCGTACTTAGCATGCATTGGCCCAGTCTTACCCTGGAACTTTGCATTGCGGAAGCTGATGATGTCACCAGGGCGGATCTCATCATATACTTGGGTTGACGCGTTCGCTAGGTTGGCGTACACAAGCGCGCCGTAGGAGCGAGTTGAAATTGGGGGCAGTGCGTCATTGAAGGGCTTAAACAGCTCCTCAATCAGTCCCTGCGGCGTACCATTGCCTACGACGGTATTCTGCTTCGACTCAATAGTCTTGGCTATCGAACGACCAAACTGCTCGTACGCGTTCTCCAGCTGATCAGGACGCTGGCTGGGAGGCGGCGGCTCATTGCGCTGTTCAAGATCCACGTCGGAGACGTTGGTGGACTCGAAGCGGGCGGAAATGATCGTTTGTGAGTAGTCAAGGTAAAGAACTTTGATGAGTTTCTCCACAGTGTTGCCTGATTGCGACTCCTTCATGTCTACCAGGACGTCTTTGCGGGCTTGGAGTGATGGGGGAAGTAGCTTGGGCTGGGTCCACCAATGCGACGACATCCCCAAATCGATATCGTTTGCAATGAAACCTTGATTCGTTGCCGGGCGAGGCTGATCCATGGAAGATCGAGTTGTCAGCATTTGGGCTGCATCAAGCGACTTCCGAGTGTTCAGCATCCGAGGCGGTGCCTCCGTTGCGACTGGCGAGAACATAGAAACTGGGCGTTCCTGCGGTGGCGGCGGGACCATTCTTTCTTGAGCTGGAGGAGGCGGAGCTTGTAGAGGTGGAAGAGGCGGAGGTGCATGCTGGTGTGGAGGAGCCTGAGGTGGTGGAGGCGGTGGCCTATCGTGAGACTTCCGAGCTGGCGGGGAAGAGTACAAATCATCCTCTTCATCTGATTCACCCGCTTGTCGATGTGGTACAGGAGGCATCGATGGTGGCATGGGTGGTGGTGGGCGATTCTGCGGGGGAGGAGGCTGGCTTTGTGGGGGCGGTGGCACTGCTCGAGGAGCTGGAGGCGCCGCGGCTTGCGGAAGGGGTGGGCCAGTGTACTTGAATGGGTCATATTCTTCATCGTCATCGTCCATAGGGGCGCTGCGAGTCGGTGGTGGTACCGGTGGGAGAGGCGGTGCACCACGGGGAGCATCTGTTGATGGCCGGCTGGGCGCCTGTTGGGGTGGTGGAGGCGGAACTGCACGAGGTGCAGTAGGAGGCAGAGGCGGCATTCCCTGAGGAATAGTGGGCGAGCGTGCTGAAGTTGGCTCGTCCGTCAAGGTATTGTCTTCTACGCTGGAATCGCGAGCATGTGACTTCAAGGCGTCCTTGTGAGTTGCCTCGGGCGCCATGTCGGTGTCATAGTCACCTTCGTAGTCAGTCTCGCCCTCGTTACGGTCCAGTTTGCGAATCGGAAGATCTTCATGGCGCGATGGAGGTGCCTGCGTTGGTGGAGGTGGCGGAGGCGGACGGCTCATTGTAGGCGATGTAGGACCCGCTGACGGAATGGGAGGCACGCGTCTTTCTGCCAGATCCTGGGCTGGCTCGCCAGAAGCGAAATACGAAGCCCGCCTGTTAGATGGCTGGGAAGGGGCAGACGGAGTAGGGGCAGTGTCGGTCATCTCATCACCAGACTCAGATCCAGGCCCAGGAGAGAGGACCTGCGGAGGAGGTGGCGGTACCGGTCGAGCTAGGTACTGTCAGTGTTGTTCACGTATTGATAGCCGATATGACTTACAGGCCGATGGGACAGGAGGGGGAGCAGGACGTCCTGGAGAATGTTAGAACCAGTGGAATGGACGTAAGGATTATTGATAGAGCCAAGTGCACACACATACTAGACACGCATACAGTCATCACATATTCCGACAGACCGTCATAAGTGACATATGTCTTCGACAAGGTCTCGGAAGATGGCGACTGCAGGCGGCCTTGGGCATGGCGGACAAAAGCGCGGATTGGTTTGCGAGGAATGATAAACTTACGGTCTGTTGGAACAGGTGGAGGACCATCGCCAGTAGTTGGCCGGGCCGGCTGAGATGCAACCTCCTCTACGTCTGGCACTTCGTTCGCTGAGTGAGTGCCTGTGACGGGGTGCGGAGTTTCATCCTCCTTCTCGACGGAAAGCGTGCGATCTTCAGGTTCTGGGCTTCGGACGGGCATCATCCCAGGCATACCAAACATAGGAACTCGTTGCTGAGGCATGCTGTACTCCTCAGTCTCTTCGGGCCTTTTCTCGGTGGTCGATTTCTTCTTCTTCGGCGGAAGACCACCGCCCATGGGCATACCACCTCCGAACATACCAGGCATACCGGGCATGCCGGGAATACCACCGCCCAACCTCCTCATGCGCTCGCGTAACTCCTCCTTCCGCCTCAACTCGGCAGTCTCCTCGTCTTCCTCTTCCTCCTCCTCCTCTTCTTCAGGCACGTCTTGCTCATCACCAACGTTGGGTTCTTCTGTTGGGGCAGTGGGTGCTCTGGGAGGTGGCGGCGGCGGGTGCCTGCTCTTGGGTCGGTCCTGGTCCTCTTCGACACTTGTAGATTCTCCTCCAGCATCTTCAGTATCTCCAGCTGCTGATTGATCCGCGTCGTTTTCGCTGAGGAGATCGCGGTCACGGTTGAGCGCGTCTGGAGAGCGGATATCGTGCGATGTTCGCGGAGGGCGATTCTGGTCCATGGATGCACGACCTTTGGAAGCTCCACTTGTCACGCGCTCGAGGCCAGTGTCCTCGCTGTCTTCAGCGGGTGCGTCTTGGGACTCAGTCCTCTTGGCCACAGGCGGTCTCTTTGACTTTTCCTTATGCATAGCTGCGGCCCTTTCTGCCTGCTCCTGCTGCTGTTTCTGTAGCAGAGCGATGCGTTCCTTCAGGCTAATCTTGGGCTGTGGCTCTTCTTCGCCCTCGTTCGCATTTGCCTTGTCATGCGCGACCAATCCCGCGCGCTCCGCATCGTTCTGGGTCTGCGCCTGACGCTCTGCAATCTCAGGGTCCTCTTCGCGACGGTAGGTCTTGACGGGTGGGGCCTCTCGAGTGGGAGGAACGTAGGCATTGCGGATCGGCGGGGGTGCCACGAAGGGCTTCTTGATGAAACTAGGGGCGCCGCCAGAGGGCTTGAAGGGTTTGGGCGGAGGATCAGTGGGCTTGTTGAAAGCAGCAATGCGGTCCCGGAAGGCATTGTTCTTGGGAGCGACAGGCGGAGGAGCCTTCTTCGCGGGAGGAGCGGGCTTGGACGACTCCGACTGCGGCGGCAGGGCTTCCGGAGCCTTTGCGCTCGACGCAGAGCGAGGCGACATGGGTGACATGGGCAGCGGTGTTGTTTTGGCGGCGCTGGGCACCTCAATGGGAGGGGCCTGGGGCTTTGGCGGCTCTGGTTCTTGAGGCAGCACCGGCTCAGGCTCCTGCTGCGGTATTTGGGGCGTGGGAGGGGCTTCCTGTGCAGGCGGCTGCTCTAAGGGCTTGTGCCGCGAAGCTCGGTTGGGTCGTGGTGGCGGCGCTGGCTCGTAGCGCTCGACGAAGTTCCTGGGGAAGAGGCCATCGTGCTTGGTGCCGCTGTCGTCGGTGTATTCGCCCACGTACCAGTCGTCGCCCTCCTCCTCGGTGACGGAGATGATCTGGCCGACCTTGAAGCCCAAGTCGTCTTCGTGGTTAGACACATAGTCGAAGACTGCCCTGACTTTGTACATGGCGGCGGGCGGTGTCGATGGCTGCAGAGGTGGTCTGGCGGCGGAAGACGCAATGGGGGTGACAGCTGCGGTCCCTGCCTGACAGCGCTACAGCAAGAATGTGTGGGAGCTCTCTAGGTGCACGGCGGGTCTCGGACGTGTAGCTGCGATGACGCCCATGTCAGCCTGGGCAGCAATGCGGGACGCGCGGGTCAACGGGGCAGCCTACCATTCAATGCTTGCACCCATCCAGCTCTGGGCGAGGGGCAGTGGGAGATATGAGGGCTGCTGCAGGTGCCTCGTGCGAACAAGTGTGGTGACGAAGCTCAAACAGCCCCGCCCAAGTCCCCGACGCTCCGCCAAGCACGCCCAACGAGGTTCCACTTCACACTCTAGCCACGACGATCCCAACACCAACACAGACCCGTCATGCCGCCCAAGTCCATCCTGAAGAACGCGACTGTCTCTACCAACGCGCCTCCGGGCAGGAAACCCGTGAATGCGCGTCACCTCGCAGTTGCCCGCCACCATGCGACGGTACTTGAAGACCGCAAGCGCGTCGAGGCAGAAGTGCTGGAGGCCGTCATGACCCTCATGGACTTTCCCACCTCGCCAGACGCCGATGCTAGGCGACCTTCTCCCTCCGACGCTCACTTCTTCCAGAAAGCAGTAATTCCCTTTCAGCCCGCCGACTACGACGCCCTCATCGAGGAGCGCAACATTGCCGACAAGTGTGGATACGCTCTGTGCCCGCGCCCTAAGAAGAAGGCGCGATCCACCGCGAGGAAGCAGTTCGTTGACACTGATCACGGTGTCGAAATAGTAGACAGGAAGGTGCTTGAGGTGTGGTGTTCAGACGACTGCGCAAGACGCGCACTCTACGTTAAGGTGCAGCTGAACGAGGAGCCGGCGTGGATGCGACACGGCGGGTACGGCGACAAGATCGAGCTCATGGTCGACAATGCCGACGAACATGAAAAGGCTCTACCGTTACGTCTCAAACAGGAGAGTGCGACCACGGCTGACG